TAGATGCCACTCGTAAATAATATTACAATACGATAGCCAAAAATAGATAATCAATGACTTAATTAATATAGTTCAAATATTATTGATAATCAATAATATATGAACTAATTTTTTTTCAAAATATCATTTATCTTCCTCATATTTTTATAGTACAATTTTTTGTCATGTAACTGAGATAAGTTATATTTTCTACATTAAAAAAATTCTTTATTAGGTTTAGTCATTTGATATTTTTTCATTTTTTGGATTAGATTTATATATTTTTGGCTGAGATTTAATTAATACTTTGGATTCATGATTACAAGTAATAATTGCTTTGTACACTAAGCGCCAACAGTCGATTTATACTACATAATTAATTTATATAACTCACTTGCAATAAAACTAATTTTTAATTTTATGTCGCTGTTTATGGTTAAACTAATGTGGCGAGATTAGTGAGATTAATTTTGATTTTTACATGTGATTCGTGTGTGCAAAACTTATACTATATCTTCCACAAAATTGATTGCGACATTTATTTAAATCTACATACTATACAATAGAAATGAAATCCATAAATGCTAAAATCTATAAATACGAAAATTAGAATAAATTTGATTAAAGTATTATGATATTCATGGAAGGCACGGTTAAAATTAAAATTATTTTTGATGTCGTCTGCGCGTCAAATCATAAAGATGATATAATTTTGTACTTTTTAACTAAAAAATAGGTTCTACAAAGAAATATTAATGTATTTATGAATAAATTATGAATTATCATTAAAATAAGCACAGCCGAATAATACTTTGAAAAGAATGGTAAATTGTATTGGACAAATCCACAAACTTAGATAAAAAGCAGGAACTTAAACATTTGAAAAATAATCCTATCTTATTTTATCCTAAACTAAATAATCCTATCCCGATTTTCTATCGATATTATTTTACATCTCCTTTTGATTTTTGGTATGTTTCTTTTTAGTAGTTTCTTTTTGACAACTAAATTAGAATAGATTGAAAGTCTTTTTTGACAAATAGACTAAAATACGTTATGGTGCAGATATTTTTAAAGCATTAGATTCACATAGGATTATTTTTTTAATTCAGCAAATCTGTTGTTAGGTAAATATAAATAATTTCACATATAATCATATAATTATTATTACAGCCCCATGTTATTATCATCATTGCTATAAATAATCTGTATTTATTATTCATTTACTACCCAAGGAATGATTTATAAATAAAAAAGATGATTATATATTCGTATAAATATACAAGGATTAGATATTAATTATAATTATATATATATAGAAATAGCAGTGCAATTATTTCAACAAACTTGCAAATGTAATAACAAATAAGGAAGAATATAGAATTCAGACATTATGTTTTCTCTGTAAAAATCAATTTTTGTATATTTATTGTATAAGAATGTATAATCATTTGTTTTATTTATAAATTATTTATAAATCAAAGGGACAATCAATTTTTAAAATAAATATTTAATAAATATTTAAAGTAAATATGTTATTGGAGGAAAGATATAATTAAAGAGGTATGAAGATGTAGAATAATTTCATTTTTATACTCTTTAACGATATTTTTTTCCTACATAAATAGCTGCCGTGGAGGACATTTTGCTTTGCGTATAAATTAATAAGAAAATTAAATAATGCACAGACACTTTATACAAATATTTTATATAAACTTTTGCTTGTCCTTTATTTATTTTTTAGCTTAAGCCTTTTCTCTTTGTTAAAAAAAGGAAATAATATATCACTTCTTAATTATTATACAAATGTCTGCAATTCGAGAAGTAAATTTTAAATAGTCATAATACTGGCACATTTCCCAAAATATATTACAGTTTATAAATTATTTATTATTAAATTAAATCTACATAATATATGTCTGTTATTTTATTTTAAATTCTGATTCTTATTAAGAGAGATTTTATAATTAATTACGAAATCTGATTATAATGCCTAAAATTGATTAGATTACTTTACATGCAAAGTTATTATATAATTAAATTAAGATAATACTCTACAAAAACTATACAGCTTTATGTTTCCAGAGGCATTGAAGATTATCAAATTATCTAAATTAATTTTTGGAATAAGTTCCATTGTTGACTAGATTATTCTTTGGTATAAGTTCCATTGTTGACTAGATTATTCTTTGGTATAATTTCCATTGTTAACTAGATTATTTTTTAGTATAAGTTCCATTGTTGACTAGATTATTCTTTAGTATAAGTTCCATTGTTGACTAGATTATTCTTTGGTATAAATTCTATTGTTGACTAGATTATTCTTTGGTATAAATTCCATTGTTGACTAGATTATTCTTTGGTATAAGTTCTATTGCATGTATAAACATAAAAATACTGATAAGACAATAACTGTAATGTCAAATGTATGCGAGATGTAGTCGCACAATTTAAGAGAAGATTGCATTTATTAGTGGCCTGCATTATATTCTGTATCGAATATAAAATTAATTAGATCAATAAATTAGATGGTTGAGTAGAAATGACTTGGGACAAATGAATAAATCGACTAGAAATACAATTACGATTAGATAATATATAAGACTAATTAAATTTTTATGTACTTCAATCAATTTTTAATACTAATATTATCTTACCTAAAGGAACGTATATGTATGGTTTATAAGAGATCATTTAAAAACTTACGATTCTAAAGTTCAAAGTAAATTATTCGCGAGATGTTTAAGGAACTTAAAGAAAGATTTACACTTTCTTTGTCGATATTTTTTTAAAGATAACTTTTTGAAACTAGCTTTATTGACTAGAAATTAATTTTCTTTTAAAGTTAGTATTAAAGACTAATATTGTATGAATACGAACTGAATAGATATTTTTTATAATAAAAACATGATTGTTTTATAATTTTGAATCTTTGCTAATAAATTATGACTAGATTGAAAAAGTGAGTTCCATTAAATTTCGCAACAATTGATATTGTTACATTGTAAATGGCATTTATTTCTACTAGATAGCAAATGTTTAACTAATTACTTAAAATTTTTAACTACATTTTATTAATGTTTGATTACAGTTTAGAAATATATGACATTAGAAATATGTACGTTTGATTAAAATTGGAAATTTGTTTTCTATTAACATTAAACATTTGATTAGATTATAGAGTAGAAATGAATTTTGGTCAGATTTTATTATTATATTTTGTTACGCGATAAGTTATATGACTAGAAATTAAATTTGATTTTTACTTCGACATAATTCCGGAGAAGTTTAAAAGGCGCATTAGATTACTTTGCTCAATTTTCCTTAGAACCTTTCTTTACAAAGAACTTGACCGAGCTGGAGATGAATGTTATAAATTCAGAACACGAAGAAAATTTAGTGGATGATCCATAATGGACCAATCACAATGGGCAAGTTCAAGCCGGCAAAGCGGCATGCTTGCCGAGCGAATGAGCATGACTGATCCTTACCCGTAGATCTAATCAATTATGTTTAATCAATTATTGCTCGACGAGCATACCTAACCATTTTGCTGATTTGAACTTACCCAATGAGTCAGCCTCATTGTTATTAGTCCATTATGTGTTGGCACAGTCGGGTCGGTATGCAGCATCGGTAGTCTTATAATGGCTTTAAGGGATCCTAAAGTCTATTTTATCGATAAAATGATAATTTCGTAATATGATATCCCAGAAATTATTTTTATCGAAATTATATTTCTTATTTATTATACATGAAAGAGTTCATTATTGTCAACTTTGAACATTAAGGTTAGTGTAACTTTTTAATATCCAGAAAACACCCTGCTGTCAGAAGCTTTAGTATTTTCAATTTGATTGAAGAAAAAGTATTGATTAAGTCAATTTAATTGAAGAAAATATTAATTAAACATATATTAAAGATATATTCAATATATTATTCAACTTGTGTTTTGATATATGAATATGAGTCGAAATCAAATTTATAATAAATATCAAGAATTTGATTAAGCAAATAATGAAATATTTGATGCTGCAAAATATTAGGTTTACGTGGCCACAAAAGTGTATGAAATCGAAAATTGATATGACGCTAAATATAAGAAAGAGAAAGCGTCTAAAGAAATAATGGGGATATGTGAAACTCTTTGGTTATAATACGAATTAGAAATTGTTTTCTATGAATGAATTTATAGTAACTACATTTGATATCAAAACATAAATTAAAATAAAAAAAGTTTCCTATTATTTTGGAGAATATATTGTTTTTAAGACTTCGTTATATGTATAAAGAGAGCGATGAATTTCTTGTGTCGAATTTAATAATTCTAAATATGGAATTACTCTTAATACATGATTACGGTACTCTACTAGTTCTTGCACTTTGTAGTTACTAAAGATAAATTTATTTATTTCTAATATCAAATTAATCTCACTATCATCGGCCTTAATTGTAAATTAAATTACACTTAAATTATAGTTTTTAAATTATACAAACGCTCGACTGAGAAAATTTTCATTATATTTAATTATTTATTTTCATGAGAAATGATCTTTTGAAAGTTCGAATAAAAGTATAATTTTATTTAAACAATAATTTTATCGCGCGAAAAGTAAGTGTCTGTAAATCGAAAAATTTAGCTTTTAACTCGCAATAATGCGCTCCTATAAAGAAAGACTAATTAATCGAAACAATAGAAAAGAGGTCAAACATATTTTGAACGTACAATCTTACTAAAAATGGCAACAAAGTTAGACGAACCTAAAACTTCCTCTCATTTCTTTCTAAGAAATAGTGGAAATATTGATATAGCAAAAGAAAACAAGAAGCAACATTTAAATTGCTGAATAGCAAAATTTAAATTTGCTATTTTTTTAAACTAAAGTTCAACTTTTTAGTTATTTATTATTATATATTATTATATCAGTTTGCTATACATCAAATTTATTATTATTATCTATTATATCAGTTTGCGCTATATATCAAATTTATTATTAATATATAGTATTATATCAGTTTGCTATTGTTTTATTAAAGAACTATATTCTTTATATATCCTTTGTTAGATTGGACCTCGCTTTTTTCTTTCGATTAAATTAATGAGTCTTCTTTACACACGCTACACTAGCAGTTTATATATACATAAGTAGCTATTTGCACGCAAATTTAACATTGCAATACACATATAAATACTTACACTTTGCAATTAAAATTGCATTATCGCGAGTGAAATGTCCTTCCTGTTAAGATGAATTGCGATGTATTAGTTGATATTGGCTCAAAAGCATCAATTGTATTTTTCGGATTTCACATCTCCTTTACGAGTGGTCCTTAAAAATGAATGAAGTGGCACATGGTTTTTCTCGGATCCATTCGGTTAGCGCTCACTGCGATATCTAATAAATACGAATTTTTTCTGGTATTTTAATCACAGTAAGTATACCATAATACTTCAGACCAAAATCTGTTCACAAATAACGATCAATGTAGTCTGCGATGTATTTGCTTAAATATGTTAAAGAATACATAATATATATGTACAATAAATTCGATAATAATAATAATAACAATAATAATTATTTATGTATTATTATTGTTATTGTTATTGTTACATATACATTCGAGATTGTTATTCGTTATTTGCGAACATATTCAGTCCAATATTACTTTAGGTCAAATCGTGAAAAAATCAATGAAATACTTACTTGAAAGTTTGTTTTCGAACGAATTTAGATCCAATCGTTGATTCGCAACAGGAATGTTACGTGTTCATTCGTCAAAGGAAATGACTAGTTTAATACATATCTGTTGAAATTATCCTTGCTACTATGTCAAATTTCTTCTTGTGATTTTATGATTATTAATACAATTCATCCAGATGCTTTTTGAAAATATTATCTCTTTAATTGGCATAATTGAGCGGACCATTCATCAATATTAATCTCCAATAATTTTAGAGGCTGTTCGATGCGGTAATTTGAATGAAAATTTTCCATCGCCGCGGAAATGCGGTTGTTCATCCTCGCCGAGCGTGTGATTCGAATACTGCTTGTACTTTGAACATCAGTACTCTACGTCTCTCCCTCTCTATCTTTCCTTCCCTCTATCTTTATACTATCTCAATACGCGCTTAAATTAGGACTTCTATTTGAATATGTTTGTCTCGCAGCTTTCTGTTTTCATACATTTCTATATTGCAGAAACGGAGAACGAGGTCAAGATTGAGATTGACAACCAAAGAGCAACATTCCAACGTGTATGTCGAGGTTTATATTAATTTGTATTATCTGAATGTCTTTGGCTTAAGCTTTTCACAGCTGGATATTTATGTGCGCGAATGTTGTTACGTACTTACTGTGATTGCTATACCATCCTCTGTCTTTCCTCTGCTCCGTTTCGAATCCGGCATTTCGCCGAGGACGGACGATCCTTTCGGTTTCCCCATCGTTTATGAAAATGTTCTCCTAGTCAGTATATCAGCATCTTCACAGACGATCCACCGTTCGTCTGCGATCCTCGGCGAGTGTTTTGTAAGATGATGGTTGCGGTCGGATGAGAGATTTCAATCCGGCACGAGG